CGTTTATCCAATTGTCCAATTAGGATCACTTAATATTTTTAACATGTTCCCGTTTTTTTAGTAAAATTGAAAAAAAAACGATATTTTGATGACTAAAATATCATTATATTTATAGAATTCGGAAATTAAAAATTTGGAATAATTACTTTCTACAAGTAGATAGTAATAAATTAATTGTCAACGAAAGTCTCTTTAAATAGTCAAGGATAATTTCCCATTTATGACATAGTTAAATTTTCATACGTGATCCTAATTTAGTGACAAGGGGCTGTATTAGACATGATTAAACGTCGCAATTACTCTAATTCCAACGAGTATACTCAACCGTTATACGGTGTCTCTAATATGATATCGTGCAGAAAATACGGCACATCCTGTTGCAACGAAATGCACCGGCATAATTTCATCTAATTTTATCATTCCAACTACCCTTCCACGTAAAAAAAAAAATGTCCTTCGATACCGCGGATAATATAATACCTCGCTACGTGATTCTAGAAATATCCTATCCCGTGGTTCATTTAGATTTAATCTCCGTGATAACGCCACGATCATGGAGGAACGACACGATCGATAGGTCGAGGGATAAGCGCGGTTAGGTATAAAAGAGCGATAAAAGTTTATCGTAAAACACAATGACTCACCGAGCGCTTTACAGCTTACACCGTGAAGGGAGTCTCCGGCGAGTTGAATGATGGCCATGAGAAGATCACCGAGCATCAGGCAGGTGACATGATGAGTCTGGCAGCGCCAATGCAGAACGTGATGAGAGGCTGGCAGCAGCCAACCGGCGGCCAACGTGGCTGCCAGAAAGACCACGCTAATGATGAAGCCCACGGGATACAAGGTGAACCTGATGTCGGCCGCTTGCATTATAGGTCTGAAAAGTTTTCAAACCAGAACGATTTCTTTTTAATCAGTTAGTTTGATTCCTTTTGCAATCTATCGATTATAAATTTGAATTGAAAGCAAATATGATTGATAATGATAATTGTACTCTAGATTTTTTAAAAAATAAGAAATTGTAAATTTTATCTCAACTAAAAGCTTTTCGTTACATTATTTACATTTATATTAAAATTAAGGACTTGTAATTAACTAGGACGATTATTGGATATCGATATAGGGGGATCAATATCAAGAAATTAAAAATTATTAGAAATCATTCGGCGACATTGAACGTAACGTTACAGTATGCTATTTCAAACACCGAATCGACATTTTCTATTTCGGTAACATCCTGTTCGTTCCGTGAAACGCGCATTCGTGTCTCAAATTTCGACGTAAATCCATGACCCATTCTCCAGAAACTACGACCGCGCCAGTGAAAGTTTCAGAGAAATCGTTTCTCCGAGTTTCGTGGAGCGATCCAGGCCCACATTCACATCGTCAATCTGGTGTCTCCAACACCAGTTAAAAGGAGAAAAAAAAAAGAAAAAAAGAAAAAAAGAAAGAAAAAAACACCAGACTTTTCCTAGTTAATCAGCGCGTGTAGGCATGCATCGCGTTATGTAGGATATATATTTGAACGGTGCTTTCTACGCGATGGTATTCGCTTTCTTTCTATTTAACTTCCATTCGTAGAATAGATCGAAGTTATTGTACAAGAAGAATATTTTCAATGAAAAGTTGAGGCTAGAAGATAGGAATGCGAATGAGTTTTGCTTGCGAAAGCTTTCCTCTTCGCATGTAAATGATCGCGTTAATCTAGTTTCGAGCGTTGTTTTGCAAATTGCGAGCGAAACCAGCACACACGCGGTTTCCGTGTGTGCAATTTCTATTAACGGCCATCCGTTCCAGAGTGGCACATAGATGAAAAAGAATCTCGAAGAAATCTCCTTTCCGGAATGTGTCTCGTGATAATTAATGTAAGATCAGACTACTTCCTCTTCCGGGGTGTATTCTCACTTTTGCAGTTTGTTTGATGAGGTTAATTATCTTTCCGCTCTGTTTCGTTTCTCGCTTACATGCGAGTTCAAATGGAAGATTAATTTAAGATTTATGCTTTTACTTACAACGCTTGTAAAAATTCTTTTTTAAAAATTTGATTCTATCTATTTTTTCTTTTGGATAAAAATTGACGATTCGTTGATTTTTTTTTTAATTTTTAAAAAATTATTCGGATGAAATATCTTAATTAATCACGATGACAATTCACAAGGAGACTCCTCTACTATATCGCACAGAATCTAATTTCTATCGTATAAAATATCCATATCAAACCTTTCTAAAATCATAGACAGGAACGAAAAACTCGATCAACATTTCTCTTCGTAATCGATACGATAATACACGATACGTATCATCCTCAACGTAAACGGATGACGCGGCGCGCCGAGAGCGCACGGATATGACCTAGAAATTCTTCGAGAGAGGAGTGAAAGTGAGGGACCGACTTTTTCTCGAAGAAACGGCCAACCGAACCTCGTCTCACTCATCGAGCATGCAATTAAGCCGTGCGATAAATCCAGATCGAGGCGGCCGATATCGAGATCGGGCAAAAAGCCGATTCGTGCCTCGAACCTCCAAGTAGGATAGAAACTTGGATCCAGCACGTCCTCTTAAAAAACGAACGATGAATCCAACGATTGTCGATCGATTAAAAAATAAATTTAATAAGAAGAACGGAATTGTAAAACAGATTGTTTTATTGTGATTTTGCGGACAATGCTTCGTTCATTGTTCATTTTTCTTGGATAGGAAAAATTTAGAAGAGTATTCGTGTGTTATGCAGTCATATTTCGTTCGTTAATTTAATTTCGTTTAATGAAGATACGTACGTTGAATTCGTTGCGTTCGTTCTCGAGAAGGAGAGACCGCGAGATAACGAGAGAAAATCGGTTTGTAACGTGGCCGGAAACTAGAGGAAAAATAGCGAAAGATCGATGCGTACCTATGTATTACGTAAGCAGGATTTCAGGAAGTTGGCTTATGTTCAAGAGCTATATTCTTCATTTTTTATTAAGTAATTTTCTACATTTTCTTTTTTTTTTCTTGATACGCGAAAGAAACCAAGTCGTTAATATTTGATATACTAATTTTTTTCACCGTATCAGATTTTTAAATAATCCAAAAAAATTCTAGTTAGCATATTTCCGACTATAAAGTTAAAGAGATTTTGAATAAGAAATTTTGTATAGGAAAATTAATAGATGGAAATTTCGTTCGAATTGTTAACGACCTAGTTCGCTCACTAAGGAAATTCTTTGAGTTATTTAACATTAGACGTGCAAATTAATACGACCTTATTCCAAAGTAAATTAAAATTTCACAAAATAACCTCCATTATTCAATATCTTGTAGACTTAAAAAATACTTGATAAATGCATCTTCAAAACTGCCATAATTCAAAGACCATAATTAAAGGATAAATTTAAAACCTTTACATTGATTTGCACCTCTAATGTAATCACTTTTCCAATATCTCTCTTCTTCTTTCAGATCCTACCTTACAATTTCTATCAAACCTTACAATTTCATTTCCTTATACTATAACCTTTTCAAATATATTTAACCTCCCAATTTCTAAACCTTAAATTTTCATTTCCCTATATTATATCCTTTCCTAATCCAATATTTCAATTTCTATTAAATTTTATTTCCCTATTCCGTACTTTTGATCGTCAAACGATCGACTATACGGACTACGAAACGACGATCAAAGTGTCCAACTCACCTTTGCGATGCGTTCTCGGAGCAAGCGAAGACCTTGGACACGTGATTCAGTTCCTTGATCCTCTCGACGCAGAACTTGCCACTGGGTAAAGTGACTCCGTCGATTTTCAAGCCTCCATCCGGCAACAATACGGCATCTTTCGCATCTCCCAAAATCGTAAAATTGTCGGAACGAGGACACGTTGGGAAACCAGGCACTATATCAACAGAGGCGGATGCATTCGGTAATAAAGGTGTTGGGTTCGCAGCTTCCTTCAGATGGGCGCACGAATGTCTGAAACGATTGGTAAAAATTTTTCCAATACGAGATTTCTGTTTTGTTTCGAAATCATCGATTAAGATGGATTAACGCGAGAGATATAAATGAAGGAAAAGAAACACTGGTGCTAGTAGAAGGTATGATTAATGATGTAGGAACGTAATTTCAGTAAGATGAAATTGAGGTGAAAGGATTAGGTAGCGAGTGTATACAGGTCAGGTGTTAATGAGAGGCGCTTTGGAAATTTATGGACTTTTATTGAGTGGTGGATTGAGCAAGATGAATTGGGTAAGGTTAAGATACATTAAATCGTAAACTCATTGTTTAGAGTAATAAGTTTTTATTGAATATATAAATTGTTTCTTGTGTAAGAGATAATTGACCCGAAGAATTCGATGTATAAATAAAAAAAAGAATGGGTTACTTATTTCTTAAAAATAAATTTAAAAAGTTTTAGCAAGATTCACGATTCAATTTTTTTAATAGAAATCTGTTTTCTACCGTATATTTTAAAATTAATATCAAAATATTTTCAAAATCCTGTTTAGTTATATATAATTCGTAAAATTAAAATAATCAATTTTAAATAATATTCTATAATTTTTAAATAAAAAACAGAATTAAAATATTTGATAAATAGAAAAATATTTATCTGATCCGACTCTTTCGAATTTGCCCAACATCACGATACTTTTAAAAGTTCAAAAAATCGGCAAAGAAGCGTAATAATTTAAGAAAAATGTCGAGTCATTTTTCGTCATGGAATTTCCAAGCATATCGTATGTACACGATGTTCGACGGTGAACGAACAGGTCTCGAGCGAGAAAGAGCAAGCACCCAAACCGCTACCACGAGCCACAAATGGAAAAAGGAACAAGAAGGTGCACATATATCGTAAGCAAGAATTTATCTAGGAAACGCGGTGGCTGGCTGCATAGAATGCCAACAAAGTCCACGGAACGCCCAAGCTTGAGCGATTGGGTGCCCGATTAAAACGAAGCCCGACATTTTTTGTTTACTCGAGCGTCACGCTTGCATCGCAAACAAGGGCTATTTTCCGAGGGAAATGTCCGCGCAACTTTCGAACGAATTTATTTTTTTTTTTTTTTTCCCC